GAGCTCCGACAGGAGGATGCACTTCTTGAACTTTTTGCAATCAGCGGGAAAAGTCGGTTAGAAGGTAGCCGTGACCCGTTTCTGTGGATTGAACGAAACCACATTTTCAGAATCAGGGTGATGGAGGAAGGACAAGAAAAATTGGTGTACCAACCGGAACTCTCAGTTGCCAAGTTACCCTTCGACCCGCACAGCTGGAGTCCTCTCGAAACCCTCGCTGAAGGGTCCAAAAAACACTCTGTTCTTCCACAGACTCTCGGTCAAATCTGCCTATCGGATGCTCCGTCCAAAAAGAAAATTGGTCGACAGCATCAACGACCGGTGGGCCAAACATCTTAACATATCAACAGACTTGCTGAAACCGATTAAATGGTTTCAGGACACAAAGCAGAAACCGACAAAGATTATATCCCTACAGTGGCAGATTGCCCACAAATGCCTTCCCACTCAAAACTGGCTGATAGACCACACCCGGTTAGAACAATAAGGAATAGCGACCCCGTGGTGTCCCAGCTGCTTGCAAAACTTCCCGCACCGGAAGATACCGGAAACGATAGAGCATATATTCCTGCAGTGCCCAGGAACAGTCCTCATGTGGAGATGGTGGGACCGGATTTGGAGGAAAATTGTAGGTGACGAAGACTGGCCCTGGGAATGGAGAGCGATACTTGCCGGGTATTGGCCCCAAGGGCAGGCAAGCGGATTCAGATTCAATATGTTTCAAATGGGCAGACGAGCCATTCTATGGACGCTGTGGTGGAGAAGATGTATATTGGCCATTGACAGAGCAAGAGTGGAAGGACTCGAAGTAACAGAGCAAATTAAACTGCATATACAAACAGAGCTGCAAGCGAGGTGGCAGGAGATGGAGAGAAAATTGGTCCTCTTGAGCGACATCCCCGAAATTCAAAGGAAGATTGAGGCCTTTAGCAGAGAATGGTTAGGGAGTGAACAAGGAGGATGGATAGCATCTGTAAAATGGGAAGGAAAAACCAAAGGACAGGCGCTTGGTCCAGACAAGGGGGGAAAGGGAACGCTGTGCAGGGATTATCAGCTAGTATTTAACAATTGGACTGACTTAGACCAAACAGTACCCCTTCGCCCCCTGTAATACTTGCCAGACCCCTTCCCCCCGAACGCCCTGGCAATGGTAGATCAGGCATGGTATGGCCACTAATGGAGGCAAGGGTCCAGGCAACGTCTCAGAGAATGCAGGGGCCTCACAGCAGCTCAACCTCAAGTGGTCTCACAGAGGCTCAGTCAGCATTCTGGTGCCCCCCCGAGAAAGGACGGCGACGAGTGGGTGGAGGTCCCGACCAAGCTACAGACATACACAAGGACCAGTGGAAAGGTGTTGCAGATCAAAAGGAAAAAGGTGGAAGAAAGGGAGAACTAGGAGTACAAGGTTGTTTCAGGCGCCCTATCCCGGGCGAAGAGGTTTTCCCCATTTCCTGAGTAGCAGACTGAACAAATTTCTGACGTACGAATTGTTTTCTCAGCAAGATGTATCAATGGGACGCTGGACCCGGTTTCCAGCAGGTGCCGCTCCCCACCAATAGATGGAGCCCCCCTGACGGTGCTAGAGGCGTCTGCTCTTATCAGCACCTCTATCAACCGGGCGGGTTGTTTCAAAAAAAAAGGAGGGTCAACATCTACCCCAAAGTACAGCGCCAGATCCCCTGTCGATGTTGAAGGTCAATGTAGCAACTTGCAGTCCGTAGGTGCAGATATGGCTATCACCCTCAAGCTTGCCTACTTGAGGGGAGCCCTAAAGTCACTCCTCGTCAGAGATGAGCAACGGGTACCCAGACCCACACCCACCCCCACCCACCCCACCCACGAGGCATTGGGTCAGGTGTGGGTCTTGATAAGCTGGCATGGGTGGGATAAGGGTGGGTCTAGGCGAGCAAGCCTGGGTGGGTGACGGGCAGGTCAATGTTAGGCCAGGGTCACCCGAATGGGTGGGTGACAAGCGGGTGAGGTCTAGGCCAGGGTTACCCAACCCACAGACCAAGGACAACCTATAAGAACCCTTCCCCCAACTCCCCACCCCCCCCCTTATACATATTTCCCAGTTGCGGTCCATCTGTAGACTTAAAGGTTGGAAGCCCAGGAAATAGAAAGTCTCCACCCTGGGGCCCCTGGGAAAAAAAGTTGTGGTCCTAGAAAAAAAAACTCGCGCTAGTGGCAAATCGAAATTCGGGGTCCTCCTTGAAAAAAAGTGTCTCGCTCTACTGGTGGCAGCTGGACCACGACCGAAACAACAGGATGTTCGCTCCCATTAAAACAACAGGGATCGAACCTAACCACAGCAAGTGGCATGCCTTAGGTTCACTACCCAATTTCAAACTTGAGGAGCGATTGGAATTTCTGCAGGCAGAGATGCTTCAAAGTTTTGCGCCGTCATCCGAGGATGTCATGTTGCTATGGTGCGTGCAAATGTTCGAAGGGACTCGGACAATGGGGAATAGGCGGGTGCGGGTGGAAAACAATTAGGTACCGGGTGCGGGCGGGTAATTTTGTTCTCACGGGTGTGGGTGGGTCAGGGTGAACGTTTTTTACGGGTGACGAGCAGGTTGGGTGTGGGAGAAAATTTTCAGAAAAACACTCGGGTGGGTTGGGTCACCTTGAGATTTTTTTTTTTTTTTTTTTTTTTTTTTATTTATGCCGGAAAGCGGGTCCGGCGTCCCTCACATATAACCGCAGCCATGCAGGGCTGGGAAAAGCACTCCCAACTGTGGTTTATTTTTTTTTATTTTATTTTTTTCCTTCAATTC